GCTTATCCTAACAGGCGGATAAGCCTTCGCCAGCAATGATAAACAAATGATTAGAAGAACCATGGACGAGTGAGTGGCAAGAGAAAAACCGCAGGCCAGAGGAAGAAAAGAGCCTGAGCCTAGGTCATCCTGTAGCCTGTGAAGGTGTTGGAATATCTCTGAGATCAGCATAGGTAGTGAGAGCGGCATCTCTGTGGCTCTTGGCTCCTTCTCCAGGATAAGATCAAGGCTACTGATTCACGAGACTGCATTGCAAGCATTTTGAACCTGTTCTCCGCCGGCTCCTGTGCTGGCAGCAAGAACACAGAGGTACAGGAGAAAGTCGGTCTTTCAGGCAGAACTTCATAATGCCTTGTTTCTTTGTACAAAGCCAACATCTTGGTTACTCCCATAGATTTCCCAGACTCGGGTTTTTTTTTTTTTTTTTTTTTTTTTTGGCATCAAGAGGAAAATGATCAGATACTAACTTGTTCTGTTGGGCCCTGTCTGACTTCAGCCAGCTTTCTAGAGGGGTACACTATCATTGTGGTTAGCAGGGAGGCCAAGGACAAGGCCACGGGCCAGGCTGAGACATGGCATGGGATGGGCACATCTCTCTACTTGAGGCAGGCATCCATGAAAGAGCCAGAATGAGGTACCGATTCTCTTGGCTTTTGTTTTCATGTGTTGAGCATGCAATACCTTCTGCCAAGCCTACTCTGGTGTGTACAAGGAGGAGTGAGTCTGGCAACATGCAGGGCACACTGATTGATATACGTGCACTGGTTTGGCATGGTAATTGCTGTGGCCCCACCTGGGAAGGAGCTTGTATTTGCCAAGCCCCATTCCATATCTGGAATCACCTAAATCATAGCCTGCACTTTATATTTCCCTTAGTCAATTTTTTTCCTATGATGACAAGTTGACAGATAGGAATATGGGATAGGAAAGTAACAAGAATGAGTTTTTAAGACAGATGCTCCAAGTTGGAAAACACGAACAAAGGGATGGAGCGGTGGTTCAGATTCAAGAAGAGCCTTGACACTTCTTCTAGAGGACCCAAGTTAGGTTCTCAGCATCATTGTCCCATGGGCCTACAACCACCTGTGGGTCCAGCTTGAGGGTATCTAATGCCCTCCTCTGGCCTCCATGGGCACTTACATTCAGGTGTACACACACACACACACACACACACACACACACACGAGAGAGAGAGAGAGAGAGAGAGAGAGAGAGAGAGAGAGAGAGAGAGAGAGAATGTTGAGACTTCCTCTTACTTGCTACATCTGTGCTCTGTGCTGGTCTCCATCTAGAGAACAGAAAGGGAAAAGATGAGGCTAGTGGTATCCTTGGAGATCAAGCAAGGCTGGGGCTTTGTATATAAGAGTAAGAACAGAGAGCCCTAGCCCCTAGTGGAGTTTTTCAGTAGGAGAGTCAGATTTACTTTTTAGTAGCATCACTAGCTGCATAGGACCCTAGCATATGGCTATTGCCTTAGCTAACCGAGAGACCCACAGGGCCAGACCCAGGATGGCTTTGGTAAGAAGGCTGGTGTGGGTGGGACTGATAGGGAATTCATCAGCACATGAGCCTTAGATAACTCCATGACCAATCAATATGGACCATGCTCATGTCGTAGCAAGGCAGCTTGCAGAGAGATTACCCCCACCCCCCACTACAGCTTTCCTGCTAAGACAGAATTGGTGGGGGTGTCTCCAGCTGAGGTGGCAATTCAGGAGGGGGTAGGCTATGTGACAAGGTCATGAGTTTGATCTAAAAATGGCATATCTGGAGTCCCCACTGAGCCTGTGCATAGAAGTCTTTCGGGACACCTAAGAGAATGAGGACAGAGCAGAGGGGGCCTTTGCTCCAGAGACCGTGCTCGGTGCCACAGACAGCAGGAAGTATGCAACTCCAGTCTGTTGATCCAGGCAGCCAATGTGGCCGTCACTTGGCATGTGGGGAAGAGGAAACCGTGGCACGAAGAAAGACCAGAGAGGTTAGTGCAGCTGGGGACGCACTTCCGCTCTCTTCCCATGCCGTGAGTGCTCGAAAGCAAAGACCAGGCTGGATTTCCTCTTTTCTTGGTCCACATGAAAAGCAGCAAGGGCCTATGGGAACTATGACGTCATACTTCAAGCCCTGCTTTTGTTCCAGACAGGGACAGCCATTTCCCATGTTTCATATGTACACCAGCATGTGCTGACTTAAAGGAACACAATTATAGATGATATTTTCAGTTGAATGTCAACGTATTTGGGAACAGCAACAACAGCAAAGCCACTGTCAGCTGTGGTCATAGGAAATGACCATAAAAACAGGCCCATCCCTAGTCATCTTCAAAGAGATCTGTGAGAGAGGAAGTAAGTACTCGGTATCATGGTACTGTTTCTTGACTCTCATAGGACTTGAGTCTTTCTAATAAAAATAGGTCAAGAAGGACAGGGTCTCTCACTGGCTGGTTTTGCTGATGAAGCTGACCGGCCAGTGAGCTGCAGAGAACTCCTGTCTCTGCCTCCCTTGCTCTGGGATTACAAGCACAGTGTCTATTCTATTCTAGGAGTCAAACCCAGGTCCTCATCCTTGCCTGGAAAGCTCTTTACAGACTCATCTATCTCTCCAGTCTTGAAATTGTGGAAGGAAAGTTGTTTCAATAACGTTTTTCCAGCCTTTAGAGGTGACCCTGATCTCGCAGGCTGGCCATCTGCAAGGCAGGATCTGACAACAGTGAGCTGGGTCGGACACAGCAGTCACTCAGCACGTCACGTGGGGTCCGAGGGTATCAGTAAGCTCCTGAGGAACTTGCAGTGGGAGTCAGAGGACCTGGCCTCACCCTTCCCACTCGTGAGTCTCGGGCATCTCACCTGTAAAGAGAGGTGACAGTAACTTGAACTCCCTGGTTGTCATGACTGCTAACTGCATGTAAAAATGGCTTTACTGTGTGAAGTGGGTTGGGTATGGGTTGTGTGAAGTGGGTTGGGCATGGGTTGCTGGTACAGAGAGATCTCCTATTCAGGTCTCTCCGCAGTCCGGGAGGCCTCTTGGAGAACCGGTGATGTTCTCATAGGTTCTGTCTTTGAAACGTTCTTTGGGCCACATGGTTTTCACTTATCCTCACACCAAAGAAGATTATACGATTGACTGATAGAATACCAGCAACCTGGAGAGCTATTGCAGCAGGCCCAGGGCTATGCTTTCCGTTTTTATTAAAATTCTTATTAACTTGTAGCCCAAGAGCTTTTAAGCCAAGCCTAATCTCCTTTAGGGCCCCTAAATTTGATCAGAGCAATTTGTGCGCAGGATTCTGGTCCCCCTCTGTGTGGATACTGCGAAACTAGCAGCCAGCTTGTGCTATTCTGAAGTTACCTCTGGTCCTCAGCCCCTCTGGTGTGGTTTCCCTTCAGGATACTGTTTCCATCCTGTCTGCAGAGACAGTTGAGTTCCACAATTATACCTCCATTCCCTAGGTTGAAAATGAAACTCGAACTTTCTGGAAATATTAAGTACCAAGCTTTTCTCCCTCAAGGATGGTGAGCTTATTGGCTCCTATTCTTGGAGGAGGAATTCTATTGGTGAAACCATACCCTTGTAAGGTGGGGGCAACAGAGGCGACAGAGGGAAAGGGGCCTGAAATATGGGGTGTTGCTCCGAGGTAGCCAGGGGGCGGTTATGTCAAGACACTGTGCTGCTGCTTCCCCAAGGCAAATGAAGAGGTGGCTTTCCTCTGTGGCTGGGACTTAGTCTGTAGACCGGGCTCTTGCATGTTCTTCCCCAGGCACTTTGGTTCTTCAAATGGTGCCTTCCCAAGTCACGGAATGACTCGCACACAACCATTTATAGGTGGTCTCAAGCTGAATGTCATCAGGAAGCTGCTAAAGTCTGAAGCTCCTGAAAAGAGCAAGTGTCCTTGCAGCTTGCTGAGTGGAAACTATCTCTTTCATGACATAAAACACACAGAGAGCCTCTGTGATGTCTAGCCCTGCTCCTGTGGAGGCCAGGAATACGCAGGGTTGACAGTGAGGAGGGCGGTGGCCCTGTTCTTAGGAACTGACCTTGCCTTGCATGTCTAGCGTGATGGACAGATCTGATGGCCCTACATTAATTGCTAACCTAGATCTCAAAGCCACTCCTAAGTAGAAACTGAAATCTGATCTTAGTGTGACATAGTCTCTCTATAACTTGCCTTCTTTGCATTATAGAGATGTCCAGACATTACCATAATCTTTGCAATTTCTTCACATCTGAGGGGCATCATCTTTGCCTCTTCCTGTGAATGCACTCTGCAGAGACGTGGAGTCAGTCCCAGCACAGAAGTGAGCCAACTAGGTGTGTGTAGTGAAAGATTAAAGAAATGGCATATTTCACCAAACCATCACAATGGCTGTGGTGTTTGGTGGCTGGTAGCTTCTCTCATAGTATCTCCTTGCCACAGCACCACAGAGGAGATGTTACCATCACTCCAACTTACCAAGGAGGAAACCTATGTTCAAGACACCCAAGCAGCCCACGTTAGACTTGCATTTGAATATGGACCCTCTAACTCCTAGCCCATGGACCCTCAACCATTCTGCCTTCCCTTCCTGGGTATCAGGGTCTTTCTAGAGATGCAAGACTTAAGCACCTGATAGGTGGCATGTGCACACACACACACACACACACACACTTGTAATTAAATGTCTAATGTGTACAGATGTCATAAGAATTTAGAAGAGTCCACAATTATGATAATCAAAAAAGTAAAAGAAATGGTACTTGATAGGTTTGGTCATTGTAAGAGAAATTATAGACCCATAGCTAGAGGGCAATGGGGAGCAAGACCCAGCAGACTCCAGACAAGAGACACAGTCAGAATGGAGCAGAAGGCTGAATATCAAGAAACAGGACAGAGAAAACAGGAAAGAGGGGATGTAGGTAAAGATATGAACTTTAATTCAATTTTCCCCTTAATGCAACCTCGTAGGTGAGGTCCTTTAGTAGGATACCCACCCCTCCCGACAGATTGAAATCATGAAAACTCTGCCTCCTTTTATTTTATTTTCGTCAGAGGGATAAATGAATGAAATTATTAGGGTTTAGCTATCTCCAGATATACTGGAAACCTCAAAAGCTAGTCACTTAACCAAAGCAGAAGTTGACTGATAATGACCATGAAGTCTGAACTGCTTTGATAGCCTCGCGTCGTGGGCAGGATGTGATTCCAGGCTCCTTTTTCCATTCATGAGCTTCATCATCATGTGCATATCCAAGATGGTTCATGTTCTAGGCACTAGACTAAAGGAAGAGGAAAGTAAAGGGACAGGTAAGCAACATCCCACTAGGGGATTTCCCAGGGTGGAGAGCTTTCAATGGTAAAATCAGGAAAGTCCCTGACAAACTAGAGGAGTTGGGAATCAGCTGTCGCTTGAGTGCTAGGCCCTGAAATGTGCATACCTTATTCATTGGTACATCCTGTTGGCTACAACTTGCTCACAGGGTCACAACCAGCTGCAAGGAAGGCTGGAAAATATAAATGTATTTAATGTAGTTAATATATATCATTTTGACGTGTGCCCAGCTAAAGTCTTTCTTCCTATGGAATAAGAGGGTAATAGATATTTGACTGTAACTGTCTTTAATACTATTCAAATCTTCTTTGGTGAAAGAGAACATTGTTTACAAAAATTACTGCTTTTTGTCAGTCACAAAAGCTCTTCAACTACTATCCCAAAACAACAGACTATGTGATCTGTATATCTCCTTCTATACTGACTACAGGGTCTCTCTTTTCTCAGTTCCCGGGGCACCTCTGAGAGCAGTGTTTGATGCAGATGGCCTTGAACACAGCTAGTTTCTTTTTCCGAAGTATCAAATAGCACAGACATGTCTTACAACACCTCCAGTGTTGGTTGCGACACACCGTCATGGCCAAACATGGGAACACAGATGTGCCCTAGCAAATTGCCAGATGGCTTTGAGTTCAAGAGTTACGAAGCTTCATCTAGCGGCTGGAGGGTCTCCCTTCTGAACTGCCAAATAAGGTAGAGGCAAATCTCCGGATCCAGGAGTCTATATTTAAATATTATCATAGGTATGTGACTGCGGGCTCTAGAAAACTTGAGGATCTGGGCCAATCTTACCCTCCTTTAACTAGCTAATGAGAATTCCAGAAACCATTTAGAGGGGGAAATCTGCTTTGTATCCTGGTCCATGGGGAGGTAATGTCAACAGTCCAGCTGGCATATCAGAAGAGATGAACCAGTGGATACTGGGAAGTCATAAGGGCATCCCGCTCTGAGTTGCAGGCATGCCATCCAGCCTCTGCTGTGGTGTGTTCTCCATACTAAACCCCCAAACCAGATGGGCTATGTCTAACTTGTTGGTGTTCTAGTTTCTGGACAAAAATCGGATCAGGGCAGGATGAGACCCTGGAGGAGAAAAGACTATGGACAATGTTTGGAAACTCAGTCTTGGTTAGGAGAAAACCTGAGGAGTGGTTCCCTCGTGCCCATGTAAATCTTGAGTTTTTCTTGAATCAACTAGACACTTGCCATGTGTTTCCCATCACATTCTGGGCTATTTTCTTGTATACCCTGGAGCATCCAGCTTTCAGAGAATAAACATTCCAGAGGCATTAGTCTGCGTGTGTGAATTTCAGAGCTCTAAGGAGGGAAAAGATGAAGCTGAGATGCACCCATATAGACAGCGGCTTCACTTGCCTGGGAGCATTTACCAAGTCATGAAGGCTTTCTGTGAGCACCCACCACTAAGACACTCACAAAAGCCTGGGAACTCTTGTGCCTAGGCTGTGGATGGGAGGTATTAAGGACAATATATATGCACTAATTAATAAGTAAAGAGCTGTACTATAATTTACACAGCCATCGGGATAACATTTTTAATGGTTACTCAGTGACATCATACAGTGTTAAGTGGGAAAAAAATCAAGATCTAAAGCTGCAGGGTTAGAATAATGCCAATTTTACCAGTTTCTGGATAAAGAAAAAAAGGCTAGAAGGAAATCTTCTAAAATGGTAGCAGAGGGACTCAAGAGATGATAGCTCATCAGTTAAGAACATATACTACGCTCTATGAAAACTCACATTCGGTTCCCAGCACCTACATCAGGCAGGTCACAATCACCTGTATCTCTCACTATGGAGGATCTGGTGCCCTCTTCTGGCCTCCAAGAATGCTGCACTCACATGTGCACATACTCAGACATAGACATATACTTGTATTCACTCAACATTTAAAATAAAATGAACCTTTTTTAAAAAAATAAAATAAAATGTCAGCAGAGTCCCATGGCAAGTGTGTGCTGTGTCTGGGCCCTGCCCTTTTGCTTGATTGCCCCATAAATGACAACAGCTCATGGAAGGACTGACCAGATCTTTCCAAGTGCTGTCCTGGGCTGCTTGGACTGTGTTAGAAACAGATGGCTCAGGGAAGAGTCATGTTTAGAGACCTTCAGATTTGTGATGTCTTTCCATTTTCATCCTTATTATCTCAGGGCTCAAGGGGGAGGGTGGAAGTTCATATAATCGTTTCTTGGTATCTGAGTCATACTGAGCAAGAACACAAATCCCTTCAAACTCGAGTCCTTCATGTAAAACAGTACCATTTGTAGAGAATCTACACACATGCTCCCATGTGCTTTAAATCATCTCTCAATCACTTCTAATACCCAGTGTAATATAAACACTGTGTAAATCACTCTACTGTGTTGTGAAGGGAATAATTACCCAAGAGTAAATCTGCACATGTCCTAAGCCAAGTCATCCATCTGAGGCCTTACTGTAGTTTCCATCCAGGCTTGGTTGGATTGAAGAATGCAGAGCCTATGGACACAGAGACACCTCCTGCACCTCTGAGGTGTCGTCTACAGTCTGGAGATGGCTGCTTTTATCCCCACTGACCCCTCTCCCTGACTGATGCAGAGGCTGAAGAAAGCCTTTCCTGAGAGTGGGGTAGGGGCTGACTAATAGGTAATAGGCCAGGCCTGAGTTCTGTTTGCACAGACACATTCCAGGGGAGATGATGACTCCTGCTGTGAAGGCCCTGGGGAGGCTCCTGACCCCATTTTGTGGGTATCCATGAAGGTGAAGCCAGGGCCAAAGGAATGGTGTTTTCCTCTTGGGAGGTTCTTACTAAGTACTGGACCTTACTCTCCATTGCACTAACCCCAACCCCCATGGAGCATGCAGGATTTGTGAGGGGCAGGGGGTGGGAAGTGCCTAATATCTTCTTTGCAGAACTCCTGGAAATCCTTGAATGAGCTAAATAAATGAGTAACCATTTGGATATTGCAAGATGAAAGTAAATGAGCTACCCCGAGACCATAATGAATGCTAATGAATTCCGTACCTTTCCACAGGTTAGGGGAGTCTAGAGCAGCTGCAGGTGGCAAGGGTTGTCTGAACATGAGAAGGAATCAGAATCAATGGGAATCGGGAAGAAGAGAGGGAAGGGAAACGGAAAGCGGTCCTTAGAGTAGCTATTAAGAGTGGCTTCCCTTTCATCATTGCCTTCCTGGGCTTGTAATCATGTCTCTGCCACTGGCTTCCCAGGAGCCTCCTCTTCAGGGTCCACAGCTCCAAAGGGCCGGGCCAAGAGCGTTGGTTCACCCATATAGTACTCTGCGGGCTGATTATCACCCAATGCTCTTCACCAAGGGTCAGAGAAAGATGTGAGAAAGTAACCGGCCACTTACTGTGCCTGAGCCTAGCTTTGCCCTCATCTCTCTCCCTTGCCCACTTTAGATTCTCATTCTAGAAAGGTCTCCATATCTGTGCCCCAGTCACAGATTTCCCGCTGCTTGCAAGTGGCCGTTCGAAGAGCAGGAGCACCCACTCTCCTGCTGCCTCTCTACCCGTCCCCTGCAGGCAGGTGCCTGGAATCAGAGCTAGTGGAGCTGCACCCGAACTTGAGTGTCCCCCAGCATCCCCGCACACACATCAATCCACGCCACCCAGCCCATGTGCTGTCTCAGTTTGACTGCCTTTCCCTTCAGACCTCCTAAAAGCTCCCTGTTCATAGTCTACCACTCCTGGACATCACCGAGACTTTACCCCTGAGAGCCTGCCGCATGAAATCCCTGCCCACACTTGTACTGATGGGGCTAGAGGGACAGTGCAGTGGCTAAGAGCCCTGGCTGCTTTTGCAGAGGACATGGGTCTGATTCCCAGAACCCACATCAGGTGGCTCACAACTACATGTAACTCCAGCTCCAGGGCACCCGGTATCCTCTCTTCTGGCTTCTTTGAACATCAGGTACACACATAAGACACAGACATACGTGTAGGCAAATGCTCATACACATAAAGAATAAAAATAAATCATAAAAATCATAAAAGAAAAATATTGCTGTTTCTAAATGGACACAAATCTGTCTTACATCTTCCGGTACTAAGTGAGCATGTAGTACATGCTGGCCGCATGATCAGGGATTCTATATCTGTCTGTTGATAAAACATATACAATGGAAACTGTATTAGTGTTCTGGCTGCTGCAGAGGAGTCTTCAAGAATGCTGGCTTGCTGGAGTAGCTATGATAAACAACTCCCTAACCCCTGGGCTCACGGGGAGCAAACATCCACACTAGGACCTGACCTCTTCCTGTGAACCGGAACAGACAGCTTCTCCCCAGCTCGGTTTCTCCAGAGCCCCTTCCTCCCCAGAGGATCTAAGTTCCCATGGTGCTGCTGTGGGAAGGTGGACTGATGGACCTACATGCTGGTCCTGCCAGAAGCCTAGCCATGCACAGTGGCTTGAGAGCAGCCTTTAGAATTAGTTCAAGGACACTGAATATAAAACACGTTTTTCTTTTTTCAGACCTTGCTCTGGAAACATGATCATCTTTCGTAATCTTCCACTTCCAGGGGAAAACTTCCAGAGGGCAGGGGGCAAGCACGTTCTCTCCTGCACTCTAGGCTAGACCTCCAGTTCCGCCCAAACATGACCTTGAACTCCTTCCTCCTCTATCAAGTGCCAGGGTTACAAGTGTGAACCACCTTGCTCAGTCTTATGAGCTCAGGGATCAAACCCAGGGCTTCTTGAATGCTAGGCAGCCCTTTACCTGGTGATCCACACTCCCACCCCTGCCATGTTTTCTTCCCAGCCCACTAGCCCCTCCAAACTCCCATTCAAGGTTTTACTTATACAGGCTGAAGTCTTGTACATCACTGGCAGTGTGGCTAATACGCCATTTTTCTAAGTAACATATAATTAACGCAATGCATTATGTAGTAATGTAATTCGAGTCTGTTACTAATGTATGTTGTCAGAATCTTCCGCTAGAAAAATATCTTAACCTTGAACAACAAACAAACAAACAAAAATCCTCTCCCTAACTAATACAGACGAAATCTCAGGGTAGTTCCGAGGCAAACCACAAGAGAAGCGTTAGTCATTGAAATGTTTACGCTGCATAAACCCAGAATTGTGACACAAACTTTTACAATTCCAGCTCTCAGGCATTTGGGGGCAGGAGAATTTAGAGTTCAAGGTCGTCTTCCCTGCATATAAAGAAGTTTCAAGGCCAGGCTGAGCTACGTGAGATCCTGTCTCAACAAAAGCGAAAAGAAGGAAAAATTAAGGAAGGGAGCAGTCAGGGTACCCTGAAGTCGTAGACTTTGAGTCAAGTCAATGCATGGACATACACCTTAAATGCTGGGTTTTGCCTAGGTTCAGGTTACACCCCTACCAACTCCTCACTTTCCGCTAGTACGCGGGAGATGGTCCTGCTCACCCAGGTTGGTGCCTCTTCTTCCTCAGTGTGCTTGAAGCTGGCGGAGTTTTTGAACTAAGGTTTCCATCCTGGGCTTCAATTAGTGCTTGAAAACTAAAGCTAAGGATGATAAATATCTTTAGTTTGACGTTTGATTGGGATGGGGGAGTATGTCTTTAAGAGAAAAAAAAAAGGCGGGGAAGGGAGCAGTTAGGATAGTGTCCCCAGGCCAGGAAAGTACCAGCCATTTTCAGATGAATTATACCCTCCTCCTCCATGGGAAAAAAAATCATAGTCAGACTTAACTGTCCCTTTGGCACTTTTGTCAAATGAGTTTTAGTAGCAGGAGCTGCTAAAAATATAAGCCAATTTCTTTCTTCATTTAAATCAAGTGCTTAAAAAAAGCATAAAGCCTGGAAGTGGCTCAGCAGCAGCAGCAGCAGCCTTGCAGCAGGGCTGCTTTCATGCAGCCTGGCAGTGTTCGCCCTGCTCCCCAAATGGTCCTTAGCAGCAGCCTGGGGTCCTCTTAGTGTCAGAGAGAGGCAGCAGCAGGCCTAGAGACTGTCCTCTGGAGAGCAGGGGGTCACTTCACCCTTCAGTCCCTGGGACCCAAGTTCAAAAGCTGCCCTTGAGTCCATAGTAACCAGGTTAGAGGTGTTTCTCTACTTAGATATAATGTTTCAATGCATCAGCCTACAGCTAGCGTGGGACAGGGTTTGTGCAGGTGACTGAGACATGCCCCCTTCCTCTCTGGTACTAAATTCAATGCCGTCCCATCCAGCAATCTATTCCCACCTGTTATGTTTAGAAAATAATCTGACCACTTGGTTCTGCCTCCAAGGTAAGAGCAAGTAAGAGGTTCTGGAATTGTCTGCCTTTTACCAGAGCATTCTTAAGAATGCAAAAGTCAGCCGGGCAGAGGTGACACACGCCTTTAATCCCAGCACTCGGGAGGCAGAGGCAGGCGGATCTCTGTGAGTTCGAGGTCAGCCTAGTCTACAAGACGTAGTTCCAGGACAGGCTCCAAAACTACAAGGAGACCCTGCCTTGACAAAAAAAAAAAAAAAAAAAAAAAAAAAAAAAAAAAAAAAAAAAAAAAAAAAAAAAAAAAAAAAAAAAAAAAAAAAAAAAAAAAAAAAAAAAAAAAAAAGCAAAAGTCAGAATGAAGAGATGGCTCAGAAGTTAAGAGCATATGTTACTCTTTCAGAGAACCTGAAAACATCCAGGGTGACTCAGAACTACCTGCAACTTCAGCTCCAGATAGATCTAATGCCTCTGGTCTCTGTAGGCTCCTGAATATTCTCTCTTCTCTCCTCTCTCTCTCTCTCTCTCTCTCTCTCTCTCTCTCTCTCTCTCTCTCTCTCTCTCACACACACACACACACACACACACACACACACCACAATCACACATATATTTTCAAAAATTAATAGTTCTTAAAAGAATCCAAAAGACTTTGAGACCCAGAGTGCTACATCCATAATGACAAATTTTCAGAACCGCAATAGAGTGAGGAGAGCCTCCTATCGAGTTTGTTTTGCCCAAGACTCAGACAGGTTATTTTTAAATTACATTTCTCAAAGCTAATCATTAATTACAAAATCTAGACATGAATATGTGCTCAGAAACTAGTCAATCCAATTCTCGTATTTTTACACAATAGAAAATCCTGGACGTTCATGCTGTGGATTGCTATCTACAGCTCTTTCCTTTTACTAATCCTGGTCCTGAAAGCAGCCCATACCTCTGCCTGAACAGAGCCTTAAAACAGGGCAGCAACCTGTTGCTTGTTGCCCACAGATCATGCTGGGGCTCCACTGTCTTGCCTCTGGTTCCTTGCCTTGTGCTTCCTAAATGAGGCCACCTTGAATCAAAGCCCCCATGGAACGTCGGTGATTCCAACAAACGTCCTGATGGAGACTGTGAGAGAGCATTACTGTGGTTCAGCTTCAGTCAGTCTCTAATGAATCAACAGCACAGTTATCAATGTCACAGTGACTTCTACAGTCTAGCTACACCTTACCCTGGTCCCTCTGCCAGTCACATCAACCCTGTATCTAAGCATGCACGGTGTGGATACGGAGCCAGCTGAGATATGTTTCATAGTGTGGCTTGTGACAAGCCATCCCATAACACTCTTCCAGTTCTGCCTGGTAAGCGTGGAACACGTAACAGCATGTGCCTGTTGGCTTGTCACCAGAGAGAGATCACTGTTTCAAAATAGACTGACCTCTGAACTTTCCTAAGTTTCAGGCTCTAATCACCCAAGCTAATTAATTCTCAGGTATCAGCACTAATAAGATCCCAAAGTTCCTGGCCACATAGCATTCCTTTAGCCTGTGTGGGCTGTCTATATGATGTGTTTCACTTCACCTCTGAGGTCACTGCTACGACATTTTTTCATAGGCATAACATTATTTTTCCTTTCATTAGCTGCTATGCTCTTCCTTAGCAGTTGTAACTTACTTGTAATCCCTTTGGCATAAGAAAACATATATTCATAAGATCCATACTTGGGATCTGGAGAGAGACTTGGGTCAGCGGTTAAGAGAGTGGACTGCTCTTCTAGAGGACCCCAGCTTGATTGCCAGCAGCCATGCCATGTAGCTCACCATTGCCTGTATCTCTAGCTCCAGAGAACTGTATCTTTTCTGGTCTTTACAGGCACCTACACACCCAACATACACATATACACATAATTAAAAATAAGAATAAAATAAAATCTTTTACTAAAAAAGAGGAAAGAAAAAGAAAGAAAGCATTCGCAGTAGTGAACATCGTCTTGGTTTCTAGAGACGGCTTGCTAACTATGCCTTCCTCTGGAATGTTTGTTGGGAAACTTTACTCAGTTCCATTGTGTAATCTTCACAGACACAATGTGCCGGTGGAGGTACTCCTGTGCGTCCCATTGCACAGATGGGGAAACAGGGCGACACCACATGGTGTAATTTGCCAGAGTTCGTGGAACTATTGAATGGCAGGGTTGGACTCAGTCTCGCTCGTCTGGTCTAATGACTGCAGCATATGCTTGCTAACACACTGAGTGTTTTAACATGGGTTTTATTATTGAATGTAACACCCTGGTTGCTGGCACGGTGGGGTTCTTTTTTTTACAAGGGAAGATGTTTGTAAAACGAGCCAGTTGGCCTCTGTCAGCAAAGCTGTATTTAGAGTTCACAGAGATACTTGTGTCTCCTCATTTGAACCCCCAAAAGATATCCAAGAACAAACTTTGTCTTGACTTCATAGATGAGGACTGTTTCCACACCAGGACCAGGGGAAAACGTTGGCTGTATGAACTCCCCAAAGCCTACTTGAGAGGACAGTATCACCCCATCCTCATCCTGACAAACTACAGTGCTCCTTCCCGCACTTTTTACTACAACTTTTTTACGCACTTTTTTACAACTACTTTTTTAGTAGTCGTTTCTTTCTTGGATGTGCTTGGAGCTGATCTGTCTAGTGCCCATTGACCCAGGCACTGGACATGTCTGCACGGTAGAGACAGTCTCTCGTGACTTACTTAGCAGACCCTGTGATTCCTTATCCATGAGCCTAAACTCTGTTTTCCCAATAAATTCAAAGGTCAGAAAACCTTGTCATAAACTTCATTATTTCTCACAAATAACCTTATTAATATGTTGCCCCCTGCCTCAGTGCAATTTAATAAGAACTCAGGATTTTGACCTAAAGAGACAGTCCTATTTTAGGAAAATGTACTCTTTTGAGCAAAGTTGTTACATTAACTTAATTTTTTTGACCTGTCAGTATCTACTCTTTATTTATTTATTTATTTATTTACTTACTTGCTACTATGAATTAGACTTTCTTATTTCTGGGAAGGTTAAAAGTGGCTTATGTATGTTTACATCCCATCTCTATTAGACCATGACAATAAATTCTGAAAAAAAAATTTCAACAATATAGCCACCTCACCTGTTCAGCTGTAAGATGCACACATGCATTGTTCATTCTCTGAATATATTCGCTGAGTTTCCATCCCATTTCAGGAACAGGGTGCTCTGAGCCCCCAGATGCTGTAGCCGGCATCCAGGGAGCTCTCCATCCAAGGCCAAAATGATGGAGTATCATAGTTAGTTTCTGTTGACTCAACACAAATCTAGACATACCTGGGAAGAGGATTTGCCTCCACCAGACTGGCCTGGTGGCATGTCTCTCTAGCATTTTCTTGATTGCTGATTAACGTGGGAGGGCCTGGCCCACTGTGGGCCACACCATCACGAGGCAGGTAGGCCTAGGCTGTACAAGAAGAGATGCTGAACAAGTCAGGAAGCAGCTTTCCTCCATGGCTACCCTCTGCTTGTGCTCGACCTCCTGCCCTGACTTCCCTTGATGCTAGACGGTAATGCAGAAGGGAAAGCTGCGATGAAGTTACTCTTCGTCACAGTACTGCTCGCCAGCAACAAAAGCAACCTAGTAGAGCAAAGGGCACTCAGCGAGTAAAGGTGGACTTTTGGCTCTTTCTGTGTCATGGAGACTCACTAAAGAATGTAAGCCTGGTGGAGAATTTGACATTCCAACCATTTCCCATATGAGGCTGCTTTGGATGTAAGACATGACCCTCACTGGATGGGTCACAATCACCTCAAAAATGAACATCTTCATGCCTGGCCAGAGCCTAGAGATTTAGTTTGTGTGGGCTATGTGCTCAGCGTTTCTAAAAGTACTTAATGATCACATGCTTTGGGGAGGGGGGTTAAAGATAACAACAGAACTGGAAGCCAGATGTGCCTGGGAGGATGGTGTTGAACCCTGAGTGCTGGTATGTACAGACCTGGGGGTAAAGACTCACGCCAGTGCTGAATCATGGCTCAGTAACCAGTCTGGTAGGGGGAGCTGTGCCTTCTTCCCGGGGCAGATCTCCCAAATCCCCAGTTACAATGCGATTCTGTCATTCTACCCGCCTGACCCCTGAGAGTGCTGGGTCTTGATGGACCTGCTTGTCTTCAATTTGAGCTCCAGCAGGGAATGCTTCTCCTGAGCTCCAATGGCAGAGTGATAAACCTGTCCCTAGCCGGATGTTCCTAGCTGGGAGGATGAGGACACAGGGGGTCGGAGACTAGTGAACCTGTCTGAAGTCCAGAGACCCACATTCACCCTCAGTGTCCCTTGAGATCAGGGAGGGTTCTGACTCTTCAGGCTGCAAGGAGGATGTTGACTGACTGGGAAGTTGGCCGAGCTGCTTTTTCGAGATCATATTCTAGCAATTCCAGTTATGAAAATCAATATGAAAACGATACTCCGGTTTCTTCCTCCTGAGTAAAGCAGGACTTGAGATTCTGAGACTATTTTCAGCCCCGGATGTGGCGACTCTCCCAGTCTCCGGAGCATTTAGAGAGCAGGTGAAACACACTGGGAACGACTCCACGTGCCCCTGTGATCTGATTTCACCCAGAGAGTAAAACAACATGATCAATTCTATTGTTATCTCCTCTACTTTGAGAGTAAGAAAGAGGGTAACAGACCCACCCGACTCACCCAAACAGTGGGTGGCAGACTTCTGTTTTTACCTATGTCACCTCTTGATGGTTAGGACTTACACCCACAATTCTGTTTGCTGCTGCTCACTTCTCTGGGTACCCAAGCGCTCAGTTTCTCCAGCACTCAAATATAATCTGTACCAAATACTGTCTGCTTGCTGTGAGCTCTAAAACTACAGTGTTTCTATGGACATCAAGACCCATTCACTGGTCTATATTTCTTTTATTCAGCAAGCTGCAGTCTTGAGATCTGGCTGCCTGGATTCCTAGCATAAATTGACAACTTACTAACTAGGTGATTTTAGTCAGGTCCCCTAAGCCCTGTGCCTTCGCTCTCTGGCCTCCTTTATTCAAATGTGACTGATAATAGCATGGATCCTGTAGCATTCTTCTGAGGATAAAGTGACATGATACGTATTGCATAAAAGTAACATACTGCCCCAACTTGGTGCCTGCCAAACAGTAGGTCCTCCATCAGTGTTTATGCTGGTATCACCAGGCCCCACACTGGTTGCTAGGGATGCTAATATGAGTAAGACATAGGCCTTGGCGTCATAGAGCTTATAACTTAGGCAGGGTGGAGAGGTGGCTACAAGTCATTAAATTGGATCTGAACCCACAGAAGTGTGTTCCAAGCCTTTGGGCCATAGAGAGGAGGGAGTGGTTCTTCAAGGGGCAGGAGGTGAAGTTAGGTGAGTTGCCAGTCCCTCAGGCACCCTTACAAGGAAGCATCTAGACCACTCTGGGCACAATGAGTTTGGAGTAGAAGGCTGGTGTCTTCATGGAAACGCCACCTTCGGGAAAGCTTCAAAACACCAACATGGAGAACAGCTGCCCTCATCCCAAGTAGCCAAGGAGGCCGTGGTTGGGTCTAAAAAGTGGTGGAAAGGCGGCATGGAGGCAGAAGGAGGCTGCCATAGAGGGGGAGGGGCTGGCTGGAAGGACTGCACATACATACCAATGACCTGGCAGCTGGAGGGCAGAAGGCGGGTCCCTGGCATTGCCAATTAGCCTTGCCAACAAGTAGAAGGAGCCAGGCCTGGCTGCAGTCTGAGGCCCTGTAGCCAGTAGCAGGTAATGGTGATGTTTGGTGGAGGGGAGGCGCACCCTGCCAGTGGGGCAGCCACAATACTAGCCGATGCCATCTTCTGTAGAATACCAGAGCTGGGGTGGAGAGGGAGGGGGAAGGGGAGGGCTTGGGGATTAGACACCCGCAATCTCCTGCAAAGGTTCTTGAGTGACATCCTCCTTCCTTCGGGTCAGAACTTGGGAACCTGCATGTTAGCGAGCTTCCCTGTGGCCCATTACCTGAGGTGAACTGCCTGCTGCAAGGCTGTGGTAGAGGGAAACTTGCTCTAAAAAAAAAAACAGAGACTTGGGAGCTGGAAGTGTGGCTCAGCTGGTAGCTTGCCTGGCATGCCCAAAGCCCTAGGGTGGATGCTCAGTTCTGTATAAACCGGACATGAGGGTACACATAGGTAATCTCATCACTGTGGAGGTGGGAAAAAAGGACCAGGAGCCCAAGGTCATGGTCAGCTATATAATGAGCTCAGGACAGCCTGGGCTGCGATGGGCCACTGCTTCATAAAGGAAGAAAACAGAAAGGGAGGGAGGAAAGAAGAGGAAAGGATTCTGGTGTATGGAGAGTCGGTCCCTTAGTAACCAAGTTGAAGCCTCCAGACGGTCAGTTTTGACAGGTTTGGGGAAATTTGTGTCATTGTCCTCAAAGTTTCTTGTAATCCTTATTCACTTCTGCCCCCACCCCCACCATCTCTTTCTCACTTTGAAAGCCATGGGCTAACAGGTGAAGACTCAGCCTAAAGAGAATTTGTACAGTTTTTACAGGAAAACATGTGCCCTAATTTGACCGCTCCTCTTCACCCACTTCGCGCCACGCAAGCTTTGTTCCCATCAGCCCTCCCCCACCAGTGCGATGTTGAATCAAGGCTCCAGCCATCTGTTTTTTCAAAGCCCTCCTGACACAAGGGGGAGGGGCCTTCAGGGATAGAGTTCTGTCTTCCTTCTTCCTTTCTGCCCTCGTTCTTCGCAGTCTGTTCATACTGAAGGGAACTGTCAACGAGCTGGGATCTGCAGTATTCGTCTATCTCTGGGTGGGAAAAACAAAAATAAAAAGGTGGCTTTCGAAGCACTTGTTAGGACCTGCGAGGAAACCTTATAAATTCCCAGAAGCACCCTCGGGTGACTGGGCAGTAGAGCTGGGTGTGCTGGCTTGCTGTGTCTTTTGTCAGCCTGTCTCAAACTTCTAGTTTCCCAATGACTAGGAAGGAAGGTTTGAGACTTCAGTGGCCCACTAGGAGACCCGCATTTGTGACGCCCAGTGGAACCCCATATGTGATGCCCATGGAACCCGCATATGTGACTCCCATGGAACCCCACCCTCCCACCCATTCACATTTCTCATTGAACAGTGGGTCTGGAAGAACTTCATGAAAGAGATTCCTATCGTTCAAAAATGGAAGGGGTAGAGTTGCTAGTCCCAGAAGCAGGAAGGCATCCGCTAAAGACTTTAAGGATCCTGTGGCCTGATATTAATGCACTTAAGACAGGGCAGAGAGACTGGCTACAGATTCCACCCATGTGTAGACTCTGTGTGTGTGTGTGTGTGTGTGTGTGTGTGTGTGTGTGTGTGTGTGTATTTGACGTTAGTCCTTGGCTGGTATTTCAGGGAGCCCCTTTAACAGAACTCAACTGCTCACCCAGCTGAGAGCCAAGGCAAGAGAGGAAGGCGCTCACGCAGAGCTCCCTGGACCCCACAGACAAGTCTAAAGGGCAGCAGCCACAGTCGAGACACTGTGGAAATTTCTCTTGGGAAATCTCACAAGCCTGTAAGAAACTTGACCTCATTTGCATTTTCTGATTGAATCTGGGAGAGATTTTAGTTCTCTCTCTCCTTTTTTTTTTTTTTACAAAGACAGGCCCTGTGATGAAGAAAGCCAGTGTTACCTGGTGTTTGCCAGAGAATTGTGGTTTTACTAGCTGTCCAAGGGGGCTCTCCAGATGTTCCCAGGCCTCAGCTAACAGCACCATGGATGTTTCTGTGTTGTGTGACTTCCTGCTCTCCTGCTTATACATCAGAGTTTGAAAAAATAATGTCAGACAGCATCAGAACTTAGTCCTGAAGGATTTTGTTGGTTAGCAAACTCTAACTCTTCCTTATGGTGGAGGTGGGATTGCTGTTGGGGAAAAGTATCCCAGGGATCTTGAAAATCAAAGATGAGACTGTTGCTCCCTCTACTACATACAGAATCTTCTTTTGAATACTTTGCCAGAAAGGAAAGAAGAATTTAGATATAGAAAGTTAGAGAATGAGACCACATTACTCAAGATCTTAGGAGTCATTGGGAGAACTCTTCTTATTGGTGTCCCATAACCTCCGCAGAAGGCAGCCCGTGGCGAAACAGGTGTTCTTCAGCCCGCCTGGTGACCTTCCTTGGGCAGGTTTGCAAAAGTCCTTAAATACAGTTCTGTCTGCCTGACCCAGACTGTGTGGAAAATCTCGCCAGGTTAGGGACTTAGCAGCCTTCTTGCTGGGCCTATGTACATAGACAGGCTCTGAGACACACACCTAATCTTAGGAAAGCAGAACCAAGAGCCAAGAAAAATTGGCTCAAGTTGTTTTCCTAATGATGATGTGGAATTTTTTTCATATAAAAGCATCATACTGCTGTTCAGTGTGTTTAATTCTTCTGTGGGCACTAAGGTCTGTTCCTGCTTAGCAGATACGCCCCTTTCTTGTCAGGATCTCTAGAAGTTAGGGGGCAGAGTGTTTGAGGCAAGGTCTTTATATAAACCAGGCTAGCCTTGGATGTATAGAACATGTGGCTTTGAATTTCTGCTCCTCCTGCCTCCACCTCCCAAGTCCTGGGATTACAGGTATGTGCCACCACACAGTTTTATGAGATGTTGGGTTGAAGAAGCCCAAGGCTACTTGCATCTGATGTAAGCATTCTGTCAATGTAAGTACTTATCCACCACCAAGAGTGGCATTTTGAGAGCCCGGGGTCTCC